TATTTTCTCCAAACTCCACCAGCGTTCACATTTGGGCATATTGAGTATTCGTGCCAAGTTTGGTCCAGATCTATCATTGTTTGAGTCCACAGTCTTCTCTGGATGTAGGTGAACTACAACTCCAAAGCTCAAGGCCAATGCCCACCAAACCCTTCAGTATTTTCTGCTGGTCATGGGAGTTCTGTGTGCCAAGTTTGCTTCAATTTGATCATTGGTGGAGTTCAGAATGCTCTCTGATTGCTAGTGAACTATAAATCCCAGCAACTACAACTCCCAAATGTTGAGTCTATTTTCCTCAAACCCCACCAGTGTTCACATTTGGTCATATTGAGTATTTGTGCCAAGTTTGGTGCCAAGTTTGATCCAGATCCATCATTGTTTGAGTCCACAGTGCTCTCTGGATGTAGGTGAACTACAACTCCAAAAGTCAAGGCCAATGCCCACCAAACCTTTCCAGTCTTTTCTGTTGTTAATCATGGGAGTTCTGCGTGCCAAGTTTGGAGGGTCGCAAGCGGGTATCAGAGGGGTCATCAAAGAAAGCACAGTATTTTCTTTTAGTCATGGGAAGGTTGGCCCAATTTTATCGTTGGTTGGATTCAGAATGCTCTTTGATTGTAGGTTAACTATAAATCCCAGCAACTACATCTCCCAAATGACAAAATCAATCCCCCTTCCCAACCGCACCAGTATTCAAATTTGGGCATATTGGGTATTTGTGCCAAATTTGGACTAGTGAATCAAAATACATTTTGCATATCAGATGTTTACATTACAATTCATAATCGTAGCAAAATTACAGTTGTGAAGTAGCAACGAAAACAGTTTTATGGTTGGGGGTCACCACAACATGAGGAACTGTACTAAGGGGTCGCGGCATTTGGAAGGTTGAGAAACACTGCTCTATTGATTCATTTGGCTTCCAAAATGCCACATCAGCACTGAGATGAGTAGGATGTGCTGGGAACACGGACAGACAGCGGCAACAACGTGGAGACCATTAAATGTCCCCGTTGTCGCGTGTGTCTGGATCCTAGAGCTCACAAATTACAGGGCTGGGCAAGCCTTGCTAGTTAAATCAAAGGGTGCGATTGTGTCTTTGGGACATTGGGGGGGAAGAGTAGAAGACAAAGGGTTCGAGAGCATACGAAAGGGGACGAAGAGACAAAAACTTCACGACCAGACGATGGGGCGGAAGCCAAAAGAACTGGCTGTCTCTTGGCCCAGCCCTGTTTCCAAATTCTTCCCCGAAACGCATTTAGCAACAGGTCCTCCTCGTTCCGGGGAGGCCGAGAGCCAAATTCCTCACCCACTTGAGCTGCGACAGGGTGATAAGAGAGAGTCCCAAGCGGAGACCAGTTCCACCAGTGAACTGAAAGTGTGTGCCATCATCTTCAGTAGGACGTTCAATTAAAAGGGTGGGGTTGCCACCTGGTGATTAATTCCCAGGTGCCTTTTGCAGCAGGACGAAATTCAACAGAGGATGGATGGCCATCTGTCGGGGGTGCTTTGATTGTGCTTTCTTTCATGGTTGGATATCTCTCTATCTTCCAATTCCAGGATGCTATGATTCTCCAACAGAAGCATGGCACAGGGAATCTCAGCCTCTAAACCAGGAATGGTCAAACTTGGCCCCTCCAGGTGTTTTGGACTTCAACTCCCACAATTCCTAACAGCCGGTAGGCTGTTAGGAATTGTGGGAGTTGAAGTCCAAAACACCTGGAGGGCCCAAGTTTGACCTTGCCTGCTCTAACCAAAGTAGAAGAGCTACTCCAAGAAATATGGCAATCTTAAAGTGTTTCTACATTACAGGATGAATGCAGTTTCATCCCATTTTAGCTGTCCTGGCTCAATGCTTTGTTATTATTATGATTTATAGTTTGGTGAGGTACCAGCGCTCAAGGCAAAAGATCTTATGGAACTACAATTGCCAGGATTTTTTTAGCACTGAGCTATGACAAAGTGGTTTTAGGCTGTATCAAATCTACAGTGTAGATGCACCCTTAGTTTGATTTGCATATAAAAATTACTTTTATAGAGTTTTCCAGGTGGGATTACTGTAATATTTTCCTTTTTTTCATGTGTGGAGCAACTTGAGAAACTGCAAATCGCTTCTGGTGTGAGAGAATTGGCTGTCTGGAAAGAGGTTGCCCAGAGGACGCCCGGATGTTTTACCATCCTGTGGGAGGCTTCTCTCGTGTCCCCGAATGAGGAGCTGGAGCTGGTAGACCGGAGCTCACCCCGCTCCCCAAATTTGAACCACCAACCTTTCGGTCAGCAGTCCTGCCGGCACAAGGGTTTAACCCATTGCATCACTGGGGACTCTTATGAATTGAATGGGGTTGACACTTATCATGACGGCTAATATACTGCGAGCCCTTGGTGTCCATTGGGATTGGATTCCAAGATCTCCCATAGATAGCAAAGTTTGTGCTCAAGTCCCATTATATACCAGAGCATAATAAAATAGCTTTCCTTATAGAATATTACAAAAGCAAGATTTACTTCTTGGAGTTGAAAAAATATTATCAAGTTATGAATGGTTGAAACCATGGATGCAGAATAATAATAATAATAATAATAATAATAATAATAATAATAATAATAGACGCTTGGGAAGTGTTCGACTTGTGATTTTGTGATACGAAATCCAGCATATAGATCTCGTTTGCTGTGACATACTGTGCTTTTGTGTCAGTAAAATAATAATAGTAATAATAATACTCCTGACCTCACGATCGTGCTAAAAAACAAAGTATGGATTGTCGATGTTGCAATCCCAGGCGACAGCAGGATTGAAGAGAAACAACTGGAAAAGCTGACACAATACAAGGATTTAAAGATCGAACTGCAAAGACTCTGGCACAAGCTAGTCAAGGTGGTCCCAGTGGTGATTGGCACACTGGGTGCAGTGCCTAAAGACCTTGGCCTGCACTTAAAAACAATCGGTGTTGACAAAATTACCATCTGTCAGCTGCAAAAGGCCACTCCTTTTTGGATTTGCATGCATTATTCACTGATACATCTCACACAGTCCTAGACACTTGGGAGGTGTCCAACATGTGATACGAAATCCAGCATATAGATCTCGTTTGCTGTGACATACTGTGTTTTTGTGTCAGTATAATAATAATAATAATAATAGTAACGATAATAATAATCTCATTTACTCTGTCATACTGTGTTTTTGTGTCAATAATAATAATAATAAGACTCTGGCACAAGCCAGTCAAGGTGGTCCCAGTGGTGATCGGCACACTGGGTGCAGTGCCTAAAGACCTTGGCCTGCACTTAAAAACTATCGGTGTTGACAGAATTATCATCTGTCAGCTGCAAAAGGCTTTGCATGCATTATTCATGGATACATCACACAGAGAATCTGATGTGTGATCAAATACAAAAGTCAGCATAGTGATCTTGTTTGCTGCGTAACAATGTTGTTGTGTATCAAATAATGATGATGAATATATTATATTATATTATCATATTATATTATTCACCTTCACCTTGTTTAGAAATTTCAAAAACAGCACCAACACTATTGGCTGGAACTGGATCTTAAAATGGCCAAATTGAGTTTTGCCATTTGGATTTTTGGGGGAATATTTTCAAGTCATAATAATAATAATAATAATAATAATCTTTATTTATACCCCGCCACCATCTCCCCAATGGGGACTTGGAGCGACTGAAAGAGCGAGACAATTCTCTCCTTTTGGAATGTAATTGAAGCATCTATGGCAGTGGTTCTCAACCTTGCTAATGCCGTGACCCCTTAATGCAGTTCCCTATGTTGTGGTGACCCCCAACCATAATATTGTTTTCGTTTCTACTTGATACTTGTCATTTTACTACTGTCATAAATCATAATGTAAATATCCGATATGCAGGATGGATTTTCATTCACTGGACTAAATTGAGCACAAATACCCAATATGCCCAAATGTGAATGCTAGTGGGTTTGGGGGGAAGATTAATTTTGTCCTTTGGGAGTTGTAGTTGCTGGGATTTATAGTTCACCTATAATCAAAGAGCATTCTGAACTCCACCAGCGATGGATTGAAACCGAACTTGGCACACAGAACTCCCATGACCAACAGAAAACACTGGAAGGGTTGACCTTGAGTTTGGGAGTTATAGTTCACCTATATCCAGAGGAGTGCTGTGGATTCATGCAATGATGGATCTGGACCAAACTTGGCACGAATACTCAATATGCCCAAATGTGAACACTGGTGGAGTCTGGGGAGAAAATAGACCTTGACATTTGGGAGTTGTAGTTGTTGGGATTTATAGTTCACCTACAATCAAAGAGCATTCTGAACTCGACCAACAATAGAATTGGGTCAAACTTCCCACACAGAATCCCAATGACCAACAGAAAATACTATGTATTGTCGAAGGCTTTCATGGCCGGAATCCATGGGTTGTTGTAGGTTTTTGGGCTATATGGCCATGTTCTAGAGGCATTCTCCTGACGTTTCACCTGCATCTATGGCAAGCATCCTCAGAGGTAATGAGGTCTGTTGGAACTGGGAAAAATGGGTTTATATATCTGTGGAATGACCAGGGTGAGACAAAGGACTTTTGTTTGCTGGGGCTAGTTGTGAATGTTTCAGCTGATCACCTTGATTTGCATTCAATGGCTTGGAAGCGCCTGGGGGAAATCTTTTGTTGAGAGTGATTTCATGTGCCTGATTTTGTTCATTTTCATGGTTTTCATGGTTTTCAGGAGAAAAACTGCCTCCAGAACATGGCCACATAGCCCGGAAAAACCTACAACAACCCACAGAAAATACTATGTTTTCTGATGGTCTTGGTGACCCCTTTGACATCCCCTCACGACCCCCTCAGCAGTCCCGACCCCCAGGTTGAGAAACACTGATCTATAGTTTAAAACCTGGGGGCAGCCACTAGAAAGTGGGGAGCTTGACTCAAGAGCAGCAACATAAAAAGCTCGAAATCCCACCAACCCCCAATGATTCTGCTGTCTCCACACTCACCAACGAGGAACTCGAGGCAGATGCGGTGGTCGTCGGGGTCGTAAGGCTGCCGGAACTGGAGCTTCAAGTCAAAGGGCTGCCCGCGTCGGATGATGAGGTTCTCGTATTCATACTCATTCGTGTGGTGGGAGCGCCGGTTGCTGCTGGACGGGCTGCACATCAGGTCAATCCCACTGAGCACCAGCATGCCCTCTGGGCAAAGGAGGAAAGAACAAGGGTCACCTCTTTTGAAATTAAGTTCTGTATCTAAAAATACAGGATGAGATTTAAGGAGATCTCACCCATACAAAAATCTCCAGCAAGTTAGGGTTCCTGGTCTCATTTGTTTGTCCCTATTAAAGTAGACCCAATAATGAGACAACAATATACAATCAATGGGTTTACTCCAGTTGAGACAAGATTTAGGCCAGGAGTAGGAATTGGGTGGCCATACAGATGGGATTTGGACTGCAAAGCCCATCATTCCTGACCATTGCAGTCCAAGGCCTGAGATGTCTCGTGAACAGAATATTTCTCCTGCAGATTCACAAGGTCACATTCCTGGGAGAGACCCTCAACAGTCTTTCTCTGAGAAACAACTGTCTTCTGAGGATGAATTTTCAGGTGCAGAATTTAATGAGAGTGAGGATAGAAAGCAAGATGTTTGTAAACAGAGACAAAGTTCCCAGGCACAACGAATACAGGAAAAGAGAGATAAGAAATCCTTATCTGGTTGTAAGGGCAAGAGAAATGCTTTCCTTTTGATTCTGGGGTCAGGAAAAGCTTTATATTGATACAAGAGAAATCGTTAGCTCAATCTCATCAACGTTGGGATTTCATGATGGTCTTGTTTCCAAGTGGTCCTAGTTTCATGTTCCAAGGCTCCTGTTCTGTGTATTGGATTTTCATGCTACCTTGTTCTATAGATTTTATACCCTTGGATCTTGCGTTTTACCTTTGTGCCTTGAAGCTCATGGACTATCTTTCATCTTTGGACTATACTGTTTTTTTTACTATTTTCCTGCTTTGCTTACATATATTGCATATTCCTCTTAATGAAGACCAAACCCCATTGCTCCTCCTTCTCGGGCTCTTCCTTTACAAATACACTTTTTCTATTCCCTATCTTATCCAGGGTTTTAAAGTTTTTATCATATTATCTTGCACATTTGGCCCACCCTATGTGATTGATTTTATTGTGTCATTCTATATTGTCCATTTTATTTTGTTACATTATGTATTTTGTTGTGTTTCATTTTCTGTTGTTTTGTATCTTATCTCGTTGTATTATTTTTGGGCTCAGCCTCATGTTAGCCGCCCTGAGTCCCCATTGGGGAGATGGTGGCAGGGTATAAATAAAGATGATGATGATGCTCTGGAGTAAAACAGTAATAATAATAAGTAATAATAAAACATTATTTATATAGATACCTGTGCTGGTACGGCTATATCAGGAGCTCCAACTTCAATTTCTTTCTGTTATCTGTTTTGCACTCATAGGGCAGGCTTCCTGTCCATCATAATTAAGCTTTGGTTCCGCCCCTTGTTCTGGGCTCTGGGAGGGAAAGGAACCATTTTTGGCCAGTCTCACACAAGGTAGCTAATCTATAGGACGTAGACCAGCTCGTCCTGTAGAAAAGCTTCCTTTCTCAATAACCATCCAGGGAAAAAGGAGCTTCCAGGGAAAAGGAAATTCCAGGAGAAAGATTCCAAAAGCTCTGGCTGAGAGCTCACAGCCTCTCAGCCTCACAGCATCAGAGGGAACAGCCCTGAAGTTTCCAAAAAATTTCAAAGGGAGAACAGCATTAAAGGTCCATGGAACTCCAGCTGAAATATCTTCAAGCCTCGGCTGGTAGGTCTACTCGATACCCAGACGTATTTGGAGTCGGTAGTAGGTGCCACACCGATGAGGCATAGATAGAGTGCAGCCTGGGAGAGGTTAAAAAGGGTTTTTCCTACAGAGAAAGTTTAGTTAATCAAAGTCAGGTACTAGTCCATTGAGGACTAGACTAAGAAAGCCTTGAAGTGTTGTTTGAACCATTGAAGATTTGTTGTTTGTTCCATAATAAAGACTTTGTTGTATCATTAAAGACTCTAAAGACCATCACTTCAGAAAAATCCCTGACAACCTCTCTTTGAGGCGCCCCTGGCTTCCTGCTGGGCTTAAAGTATACGCCCTATAGAAAAGTACAGCTATTACAGGCCCAGTGCGCGACAGAACAAGATGAACTATAAAGCCTTCTACTCACCACGAATGACGGCATCCGTTCGCCGAGCCCCAGGGACCTCTCCAGGAGCCGGACCCCAGTCGCCGGCGTCCGACTGACCCGAACAGCAACAGCAACATTTGCGGAACCAGTTCCGTTTCTTCCTCCTGGGAGCGGGCTCTGGCTCGTTGGGCTGCCGGACACGGTAACTGACGTTGGCCCATCGGCCTGTATCTGCTCGGGGGTCTTCGGCTGGCATGGTGGGTCTGCAGAGAGGAGAGAAAGGAGCTGTCAATGCAGTGCAACACACTGGCTACTAGCGGCACCCTCGTAAAGTTGGAGGGCACCATTCCAAAATAAGATTGCATGCAGTTTTGATACCACCTGAACTGCCATGGCTCAATGCAATGGTGTCCTGGGAGTTGTAGTTTTCCAAGGGGCTGCAAAACTCCAACTTCCAGGACACCGTTGCATTCTGCGTACATTAATTATACAGAGCGGATCAGACATAGGCAAACTTGAGCCCTCCAGGTGTTTTGGACTCCAACTCCCACCATTCCTAACAGCCTCAGGCCCTTTCCTTTTCCCCCTCAGCCGCTTAAGCGGCTGAGGGGGAAAAGGAAGGGGCCCGAGGCTGTTAGGAATGGTGGGAGTTGGAGTCCAAAACACTTGGAGGGCCCAAGTTTGCTCATGCTTGATCTACACTGTCCATAGTAAATTGCATTAAACAGCCCCTTTGCCTTTAAGTGGTTGGGCCACGTGGCTCTTCTGTGGGTGCGCCACACATTTTAATAGGCAATGCATGCCCAAATGTGGTTTGAACGGTTTTAAATTAATGTTGTTATTGGATCGTTCACCGAGTGGTTCTTTTTCCTTTTGGGTCACATGTACTTGGGAGTGACTTCATTTTCACTGATACGTCGGGGCGAAAGACCGGATGTGAGTTAATGAAATACCAATCTAACTTGCACACCTGCGCATCAGGTAATGGCGCAAGGAAAGCATGCGACGGAAGCCGTCACGGCCACACCTGGCCAAGGAGAGAGGAGAATCCCACTGTCTCCTTAAGGCAGGGTGGACCCACATTGCTAGTTCATTACGCCGCCTCGGCAGAGGCTGGACCTGTTTGACAGAGCAATTCAGAGAGTCTGGAAAATCTCAGGGCTTCTTTCCAGACGTATTCACCTCTCAATGTCGGAATGGACACTTCCGAGTGTCTGGGGTTAGAGCTGTAGCCAAGGGTTGAAATCCTCATGCTAAGTCTATGTGCTAGGTCTTATTTTCAGAGGATGTCTCATTTTTCCACGAAGAAGAATTCACATTTATTTTTGAACAACAATTTTGAATATTTATTATATACTGTACAGTAGTTGTCATCACAACCAGCATAACCAGACAATCTGAAACCTGGACACAGCATGTTATTTGAGAACACAGAAATGCTGGACCACTCTCACAACCACCATGTCAAGCTACACAGAGAAGCCATTGAAATCCACAAGCATGTGGACAATTTCAACAGAATGGAAGAAACCATGAAAATGAACAAAATCTGGCTACCAGTATTAAAAAACTCTAAAATTACAACAGCAAAAAAACAGAGAGTAAACAATCAGGAACATCAAATCACTCTCAACAAAAGACTCCCTCTAGGCACTTCCAAGCCATTATATGCTAATTAAGGTGGTCAGTTGAAACATTCACACCTAGCTCCAGCAGACAAGAGTCCTTTGTTCCACCCTGGTCATTCCACAGATATATAAACCCATTTTCCTACTTCCAACAGACCTCACTACCTCTGAGGATGCTTGCCATATATGCAGGTGAAACGTCAGGAGAAAATGCCTCTAGAATATGGCCATGTAGCCCAGAAAAACCTGCAACAACCCAGTGATTCCGGCCACGAAAGCCTTCGACAATACATTAATCTGAAACCTATCAAGAATTTCTTGTTAGTACCATTATTTCCATGTACAACAATCTATGGTACATTTACCGATCCCGAATATTTATGAAAACAAAGCGTTGCTAGGTCTTACTTTTGGGGGAGGCCTTATATTTAGCAATTCAGCAAAATCTCGACTAGGTCTCATTTTCAGGGGATGTGTCATTTTTCCATGAGGAAGAATTCACATTTATTTTTGAATAACAATTTTGAATATTTATTATATACTGTACAATAGTTGTCATCACAAACCAGCATAATCAGACAATCTGAACCCTCTCAAGAATTTATTGTTAGTACCATTATTTCCATGTACAACAATCTATGGTACATTTACCGATCCCAAAATTTATGAAAACAAAGCGTTGCTAGGTCTTACTTTTGGGGGAGGCCTTATATTTAGCAATTCAGCAAAATCTCTACTAGGTCGTATTTTCAGGGGATGTCTTATTTTCGGGGAAATGGTATATATGTTCACATGCATAAAGTCTAGGAATTGGAAGATACAGCTTCAGGTTCCCACGGAGCCATGAAACCCATTGGCCAGTTGGTCTCATCGACCTGGTCTACCTCGCAGGGCTGCTGTGAGACTAAAATTGGGACATTTGGGGGAAGAAAGACATGCTGTTGCCATATGATCCCTACATTCCTGAGGTATACAAACCTGGACTTTGCATGGATATGCAAAACTGCAAATAATAGCGAACCCTATTGAAATAAAGACCTTATGACACAAGGATATCATGGAATTGTGTGCAAGGGCCAAGAAAATGCCTACACAGGACATATTTTGTCAGAGTTGGATAAACAAAGCCAAGGGTGTCAGTCCTGTGGATAACGGGGCCTTACTATAATATCAATAATTGCGACCAATAATACACAAATCTGTGAAAAGCCCCTTTCAAGCCAGGCTTTCCCCAGTCCAGATACTTTTCCGTGAGATCCACAAAGAATTCAGGATGAACTCTCAGCCTTGGACTCTCTCCAGCCGACCCTTATTATCTATGTGGGATTTCCCCTGGCTCGAGGTTACATTGCAGAGGGCTCTGTTTTCTTTCACTTCTCTATCAAACAGTCCATCACTTTTGAGCTTTTACTGACCACAGCTGGCCATAAATCTCCAAAAGCAAAGCAAATACCTCCCTGGGGTAGATCTCTACTAGGAATGGGCAAACTTTGGCCATGGCAGTTCAAGTGGAGTCAAACAACATGCAGTTGCAAAACTACAACTTCCAGGATTTCATAATCCCCAAACTCCACCAGTGTTCACATTTGGGCATATTGAGTATTTGTGCCAAGTTTGGTCCAGATCCATCGTTGTTTGGGTTTGTAGGTGAACTACAACTCCCAAACTCAAGATCAATGCCTACCAAAATCTTCTAGTATTTTATGTTGGTCATGGGAGCTCTGTGCCAAGTTTAGTTCAATTCTGTCGTTGGTGGAGTTCAGAATGTTCTTTGATTGTAGGTGAACTATAAATCCCAGCAGCTACAACTCCCAAATGGCAAGTCTATTTCCCCCAAACTCAACTAGTGTTCACATTTGGGCATATTGATGATATCGAGCTCCTTTGGGAGGGTCTCCCCAGCGGAGGAGAACCCTGAGGACCACTCAAAAGGGCCCTTGAACCTTGGTGAGGCCAGCGGGAGCCAATCAGAGCCGCGAGGAATATTAAAATAATAAGACCTCAGCAAAGCGGAAGAAGTCCAGCGACCGAGGCGTTTATTTGCGATTCAGCTGATATCGGATGCGTTGCAGGAATCATTCCACTGCAAGCATAATTTTACAGAATTTCCAAGCATTTTTATAGCATGCAGACAAATGAAAACAGTTCCAAAATTCCCGCCCGCCCTCTGCCCGCTGGCTTCGTGCTGATTGGCTGGCCGCGGAACAGCTGGGAGGAGGCTTGGCGGCATGCCTCGCCTCTGGACCAATCAGCGAGCTCCGCTGCCTCTGAGAGGCCAATCAGTGCCTTCCTAGCGCCTCTGAAGATGGACCAATCGGCAGCTAGGAGGCGGGACGAAGCTTGACAAAGGCTGAGGAGCCGGGCGCGGTGGCGCGCGCCTGTAATCCAGCTGCGCGGAGGCTGAGGGCGGTGGATGGCGTGAGCTCAGGATTTCTGGGCCTTGGCGGGCTACGCCGATCGGGTGTCCGCGCTAAGTCCGGCGTCATTGAGTATCCGTGCTAAGTTTGGTCCAGAGCTATCATTGTTTGAATCCACGGTTCTCTCTGGATGTAGGTGAACTACAACTCCAAAACTCAAGGTCTATGACCACCAAACCCTTCCAGTATTTTCTGTTGGACATGGGAGTTTTGTGTGCCAAGTTTGGTACAATTTCATCGTTGGTGGAGTTTAGAATGCTCCTTGGTTGTAGGTGAACTATCAATCCAGGAAACTATAACTCTCAAATGATAAAATCAATTCCTCCCAACCCCACTTGGTGGGACCAAGTTTGCCCATGCCTAATCTTTACTGTAGAGTTAATGTTTGAGACCACTTTAATTGTCATTGCTCAAGACTACAGAATCATGTGAACTCTATTTTTGCAAAGACTTCTCTGCCAAATCACTGCATTATGGATTATATGACAATGTAGACTCATATAAACCAATGCACCTAATCTGCATTCTGGAACTGCATTATATGGCAGTGTAGATCTAGCCTGATTGAGTAATGGAGTTGGAAGTACAAGGGTCAGGCCAGGAAAACGGAGAGAGAGATATTCTAAAACTGAAAATCCCTGCTGTGTCAGTTCTTGACTCCGACTGTCACGGTTCAGATGTCGAAAGACACGTCTGCAAAGGGAAAGGCAGCCGGGAGAGTTTGGCAATGGATGAGAGAGAAGGGGAAAGACAGATAGAGAGATATAGAAAAGGAAACTATGGAAATGAAGGAGAGAACTGTTGCCAACTGCAGGCACAAGAAAAGGGAGCAAGAAAAGTGCATTGGAAAACATTCTAGCATGCCTAGGGTGTATCTCTACACTGCAGAACAGTGGTTCTCAACCTTCCCAATGCGACGACCCCTTCCTCATCTTGTGGTGACCCCCAAACATAACATTATTTGTGTTTATACTTCATAACTGTCATTTTGCTACTGTTATGAATCATAATGTAAATATCTGATATGCAGGATGGATTTTCATTCACTGGACTAAATATGGCACAAGTACCCAATAAACCCAAATTTCAGTACTGGTGGGATTGGGGTAGGGGATTGATTTTGTCATTTGGGAGTTGTAGTTGCTCAGATTTATAGTTCACATACATTCTGAACTCCACCAATGATGGAACTGAATCAAACTTGGCACACAGAACTCC